TTCCATAAGCAGCAGCATTCTGCACTTGCTGGAGTCTGGCCATTGAGGACTGACTCAGGCAAGTGAAACGTGAGTTGCAGTAGCCCAAACGTGAAAAGACAAAGGCATGAATAAGCTTCTCTAGATCAGGGAAAGACAGAGTTGATTTAATTTACTAATGTTTCTTAGCTGGTAGTAACAGGATTTAATGAGATTATTGATGTGCGGAATGAAGTTAAGCTGTGAATCAAATGTAATACCTACATTTCTACCTGTAGATTTTATATTGGGTGTTAGAGGACCAAAGAGCAGCTTGAATTTGCTTGCTATATGATCGGGCCAAAGAAAATGACCTCTGTCTTCCCTGTATTAAGCTGCAGACAATGACAGCTCATCCATTTCTCAATGGTGGCCATGCACTCCACTAAATTGTTTAAGCGGCTGATATTGTCTGACTTGAAGGACAGATATATTTGTGCATTATCAGCATAACAGTGATAGGAGACCCCTCAAAGTAATTCATAATATTTCCAAGTGGAGCATATGAAGGGAAAACAAGACTGGACCAAGAATTGAGTCCTGTGGCAGACCGTACGTCATGCGGGCCGAGGAAGAAACAAATGACCAATTGAGACAGAGAATCCTCTATTTGACAGGTATGACCCAAACCATTTGAGTGCAGTTCCGGTGATGCCTACACACTGATCAAGTCTATTGGCTAGAATTTTATGATCAATAGTATCAAATGCTGTGCTTAGGTCCAACAGCAATATAACCAAACATTCCCATTATCAGCGCTCATCAGCAAATCGTTTGTAGCCCTAATAAGAGCAGTTTCGGTACTGTGTCGTTTGAGGAACCCTGATTGAAACTTGTCGCAGATGTCATTATTGTTTAAAACAGATGTCAGCTGGCTAAAAAAGCACCTATTCAACCTTTTCAAGAACCTTAGATATGAACGAGAGTTTGGAAATGGGTCTATAATTCTCTGGAAGTGATAGATCAAGGTTAGGCTTTTTGAGTAAGGGCTGGATGCTTCCTTGTTTAAAATGATTGGGAACAGTTAATGATGAGTAAGCTGGGGCCAATTGTACCAATAACCTCTTTCAGGAGTGAGGTGGGTAAGATATCAATAGGGCTTGAGGTGGTACGCATGTGAGACACAGTATCGATAAGCTCAGTAAGAGAAATTAATTGAAAATGGTTGAGCAGTTCAGAACAGACAGGATAATTATAAATATGTGCAGTTGTCGTTGGTACAATATTAGACCTAATATCCATGATTTTTTTGAGGGAAAAAGAGAAGAACTTTTCACAGTCAGCATTTGAGGAAGCTGACAGAGCTGGGGGGGCAGGGTTAATAAAACCCTTTTCACACTTATGGAAATCTCCTGAAAAACGCTGGAGATTAGGGTCCCCGGAGGGGCTTTAGGCTATATGTGAACGCAAACAGCCAAATTTTTCGCGCAGACTTTACCCGGAGTTTCTCCGGCCAGACCCCGAGTATTTTTTCCACAAAAAGTCTGAGTGAGCTGATGTGAGAACACCGCAGCAAATTCTCCGGAGAATTCACATCAAGCCAATGGGAAGAGAATGACGTTTATATACAGAGACTGCCGCACGGTGCAGCAGTCAAGTGTCTGCACGTGACCACCCAATGCACGTAATTAAAACGCTGCATTATATTTTCTGTTCATCAGTATGTTGTTCTCCGCTCTTTTGTGGATGTTGTCATTCCATTGGACTACACATAACATTGATTTAAAGTCAATATTCTCATTATAGCGTTGTGTAGCGGACTCTGTTGCTTCGGCCGCTACTTCTAAAGCTATTAACTAAGTCAACTAAGTAACTGTGTTGAGATAGTAAAGATGGAGTTTGGTTTATTTGGCCAAGGGAAAAATAATTAGAAAATTTAGAAGCACTATGTTCATTAAAGATACGTGAACAAATAGTACTGCTGGGGTATTTTGGGGCAGTATCAAACACAGTGCTGAAGTAGACACACAAATGATCTGAGATAAAAACGTTTTCCAAGGCCAAACCTAGAGTAAAATCTAATGTGTGGCCCCTGTTGTGAGTTGGCCCAGATACATGCTGTACTAGGTTACTCAGTGATTTTTAAAACTCAGTTGAAAGACCATTAGAGGGATCATCAATATGGATATTAAAGTCACCAGCAATAATAAGTTTGTCAAAGCCAGCAAATTAATTTAAAAAACTATCATTGGACCCGGAGTCCCTATGGCAATATTCAACGTCCTCGACAAACTGATAACAAAGTTTATATGGCAGAACAAGAAACCAAGAGTAAGACTTAAGACACTATTACTACCAAAGAAAAACCTAACCTCAAATACTACTACTGAGCAGCACAACTGAGGACCTTAATAGCATGGATAACTAACGATATTGATACCGGCCTGGTCAGTATAGAACAAAATTCATGTCCAGACATCCCTTTAAGGGGGCTTCCATTTCTAAGCCAAGTGAACTGGAAGAAGTTAAAAATAAAGAATGAATGGATAAAATTCACGATGAAGACTTGGCTGGATATAAAAAAAACAATTTCATCTTTTTACTTCTATAACCAGGACATTTAAAATTGTAGCTATTCCAGGATTTTTACCTATTAAAACTGTTAACGGCTTCAGAAAATGGTCGGACAAAGGGTTAACTACCGTTAATCAGCTCTTTCAAGGGGAAGTATTGAAATCTTACGAACACCTCCAGAGAGAATTTGGTTTATTAGGGATGGATGCTTTAAGATTTCTCCAGGACACTATCTAGAGACGCATTAAGACTGGGAGCTGGTATGTAAGGGCGCGGTCACACTGGCCATCAGTACCGTGCCCAAGCACGCTTCAACACTAAAGTCCAGTTCGTTTGACCAGTGGGACCTCCATATCTTGCTCAGACACGGTACACTTCCTTGGCTTTGGCACACTTTGGAGAGGTGTGCTTCAGCACGGTACACTTCATGCACGAGCACAAGCACGCGGGTACACAACGCTGACAGCCTTCATTATGGAGAAATCCAGAGTTTCATGTCTGTATCTGACTAACATGAAACAATATAAGACACAAAGAAGCTGTCATGTTCTCTGTGTTGTTCATTATTTAATGGCTGTGTAATTATTTATGGCTGTGTCTGATTAAAATGGCTTAAAGGGCCCATATTATGCTTTTTCTGGTTTTATATACTCTTATAGTGTGTTTTCCAAGTGTCCTGTGCATGTTTAGGCACATCTATGTGCAAAATTTCAAAGTCTGCGTAAACGCGGCTTCTCCTCTGTCCTCCTGTTAGCTGTAGCATTAGCTGCATGTCGTGCTCAGTTCTAGTCCCACTCGGAAAAAATTTGCCAGTGTGACGTCTTGTCAGTGTGAGATCACTGATCTAAGCCCATTGGCTCGTTGTGGCAAGCCCAGCAGCTCATGTTGCACGCACGTTAACTTCTGTGGCACGCCCACGATATGCCGTAGCGCTAAGGTGCTAATGTTTATGCTCCCCTCGGACAGAGCCAGTGGCTGCATTCCCAATATGGTAAAAGACGCGGGACATTTCCGAGAACCGTGCTGAGCGACTGACCAATTACGGCAGAGCCGACAGGCCGACCAATCAGATCAGACTTGGCACACGTGGGGACTCTGAACGTGGGCACTTCAGAGCCTTAGAGAGAGAGTCAGAAGTGAGCCGGTGCATGGAGCAACAGAACATGAAAACAGACACTTTTTTCGAACTTTAGCTATTGCGAACATACTTTAGTAGGTACATAGATTAAATATATGAACCCCAAAAAGGGCATAATATGGGCTCTTTAAAATGAGCTGCAAAGTCAGTAAAGTAGCTGTCATGCTCTCTGTGTTTTTCTCTGAGGTACAGACACGGACTCGACTGCGCGTCTCTTTTTCTCTCACTCTCTCTCTCTCGCTCTCTCTCTCTCTCTCTCTCTCTCTCTCGCTCGTCCGCCTGTTTTTAAACTGAGCACGCTTCATAATAACATAAAGCGTGCATGTGTTGAATTACGACGTTATGTACAAGAGGTAATCGTCCTTTTGGGCATGGTTAGTCCTGGCCATGTGGGTATGGCACAGCAGGGGGCCAATCGTCCTTAATGATAATAATAATAATAATACATTTTAATTATAAGCGCCTTTCAGGACACACAAGGACACTGTACAACAATCAACATTTTTAAAAACAGCGATGGATAACAAAAACAGCATACAATAAAGAAATGGAATTGTGGACAGTGTAATTACAGTTAAAAAGTTAGAGTGAGTAGGCGATCTTGAACAGATGGGTTTTGAGTCTGGAGAGAGTCAATATTGCGAATGTCTGGTGGCAGAGAGTTTCAGAGCTGGGGAGCAGAGCAGCTGAAAGTTCTGCCCCCCATGGTGCTGAGGCGGGCAAAGGGAACGGTGAGGTGGATGGAGGAGGAGGATCTGAGGGAGCGGGCTGAAGTGACAATGTGAAGGAGGTCAGACAGATATGGGGGGGCAAGGTTGTGGATGGCCTTGAAGGTGTACAGGAGGAGTTTGAAGATGATTCTTTGATTCACCAGGAGCCAGTGGAGTTGCTGTAGGATGGGGGTGATGTGATGGTATGAGGGGGTTTTGGTGACAATACGGGCAGCAGAGTTTTGAACCAGTTGGAGCTTATGGAGGGACTTATGAGGGAGGCCGAAGAGGAGAGAATTACAATAATCAATACGGGAGGTGACGAGGCTGTGGACAAGGATGGAGGCAGTATGGGGGGTGAGGGAGGGGCGGAGACGGTTGATGTTTCGTAAGTGGAAGTATGCAGGCCGGGTAATGTTATTGATATGGGATTTGAACGATAGTGTGCTGTCGAGGATGACACCCAGACTCTTAACCTGAGGGGAAGGGGAAACTGAGGAGCTGTCAATAGTGAGGGAGAAACTGCCAACTTTGGATAATAAGGATTTAGTGCCGACGAGAAGGATCTCGGTTTTATCACTGTTTAATTTAAGGAAGTTTGAGGAGAACCAGGATTTTATTTCAGATAAACAGGAAGTGAGGGAGGAGGGTGGAAGTGTGGAGTTTGGTTTACTGGAGAGGTAGAGCTGGGTGTCATCCGCAAAGCAGTGGAAAAGTATATTGAATTTACGGAAAATATTGCCAAGGGGGAGAAGGTAGGTGATGAAGAGAAGGGGCCCCAGGACAGAGCCCTGGGGCACACCTGTAGTGACTGGGGAAGGCGCGGATTTGAAGGATTTGAGCTGTATGAACTGAGTGCGGCCTGAGAGATAAGAGTGGAACCAGGTAAGGGAGGTGTGAGTGATGCCAATGGAGGAGAGTCTACTGAGGAGGATGGGGTGTGAGATAGTGTCAAAGGCTGCACTCAGGTCAAGAAGGATGAGGATAGAAAGTAAGCCGGAGTCAGAAGCAATGAGGAGATCGTCAATCAATAGTCACAATCAAATTATACACACAAAAAATAGCATGCAAATGGTGTATGCTATACCTTTAAAGCTCTTGTGTTTTGTTTTATCAGGTGACGCTTGTCCACTCAAGCGAGGCTGTCACAGTTCTGCACAGGCTGAATAGAGAACATCCTGAAAGGGTTCTCTTTAAAAGCCTCTTCCGCTCAGGTTCAAGCTCTGAAACTACCTCCTGTAATGTTTGCCTACGTCAAACCAACCAGCCACAGTGCAACTACACTGACCTCCGTACAGGCGAGCCTTGGTTCTGCTACAAGCCAAAGAAGCTGAGCTGTGATGACAGGATTAACCACATGAGAGACGGATTCAATGTAAGACTCAAGGACAAAGAGGAGAAGCTTTTCCAAAGGTGAGGGAGCACAGCAGTAGAAAAGTTGCATCTAGTTTTGTAATGACTGTAAGTATATAGTATGTGTCACCTGCTGGAAAATGTTGTGTTTGTAACTACAGGTGGCAAAGATGAAATCTTAAGATGTTTATAGTGTAAGATAATACCTACCAAAATACTTAATCTGAACAATTAAAGTTGACACTCATCAACAAAACTATGAAGTGTATATTTTTAGTCCAAATATGGAGGCAGAGTAATTTAATAAAACTAAAGTGTTACCATTTGTTAAATCATGTTTGACATTTACATAATGTAGTGTGTTTAGAAGATTCTTAATGGGAGTTTTTTCCCCCCAGCAAAGTCAACCTGAAAGTCTTCATTCACTCTTCAGGACCGGCCAATGTCATGGTGCTGCCTCCAATGAAAGGTAAAGCACAACTTTTCTACTTCCACATTTTAAAGATATCCATGTGAACTTGAAAATAAAAATGGTTTGGTAAAAATAAATAAAACCTTCCTCTTTGTATTCCAGCCAGAGCATTGGCGGAATGAAGTACTACACAATAAAAAAATAAAGTGACAATAGCTGTTTATCTCTTTGCCTTGTAGAAAAGATATCCCATATAAAGAAAAAATAAATAAACTAACCAGATTCTATTCACAAAACTGAGATGGAGCTGCAAGCATTTATTTCATTTACGCTCAAAACAAGATTTATTTTAAGTACTATTAAAGAGGACATATTATAGCCCTTTTCAAACAGTCCCCTGTGGTCTAAATGAAACATCTGTGCTGTGCTTCGGTCAAAATATAACATGAATCAAGCACCAGAGGAGGTTTGTGACCCTGTATAAACCAGCTCTCTCAGAACGCTCCGGTTTGGTGTGTGTGTCTCTTTAAATGCAATGAGCCGCCTTGAGTTTTCCTGGTAGACATCAATCCTCTGTAGAAAGACTTAAAATGGCAGACCTGCGCAAAAGTTTTGTTCTAGGCTGGGGATGGAGTCCATGGGTGGAGATATCAGGGGTAGGGAGGGTATTCTTTTTTTTTTTACCAGAATCCAGCTTTTGACATCACAAGCTGAGAAAATTTGAAACGGAGCATTTTTCTCTGTCTTGTAAGACTTATGCAAACTACAAACAAAGGACGGGATGGATTTGTTTCATATTTTGTGGGTCAGTAGACTCTCAGGTTACCCAAATATATGTTCAAAAACACTGTACAAGTGGATTTGTCATAAAATGTCCCCTTTAAAAATACTAAACTAATTAACATCTGTAAATATTTAGCTTTCAATAATCAACATTTTCTTATAAAATGAATTTGGTAACATTTACCTTAACCACAATAAACATGTGCATTCGAGACATACACTGTCCTGCTGAGCACTTTAATGCATATTTTTCTGCTGCTCAGACAAATCCAATAAATACACTTATCTGCACTGGAAAAAAGCTAAAACTGAGTCTTGTGTAAAAATTTGAATGAATATTTTTTTTGTGTTATAATATGATGTTGTCTCAAGTGAAATAAGCAAGGTAAAGGAGAGACCATGTTTTGGTCTTTTTATGGGATCTGTTGACAATACATGATAAAACAATGACTTTAATAACCAAAAGCTTGATCAATATGTTTTAGGGCAACCTGAGGTCGATCAAGGCAGTGGGAAGTCTGGACTCTCTGGGTATTACTACCAGGGTGTGTGGCGATCACTAGGTGGCACCAAAGTCCACCAATTCAACAACTCCTCTGCCATCAGTCAGTGTCTGAAAGGAAAGGTGGTCCACATGTATGGAGACTCCACCTTAAGGCAGTGGTTTGAGTACCTTGATGCTTCACTTCCAGGTAGTTGATTCACAGTAATTTCAGGTGAAAGTTTATTATTTATATAACAGCTAAACTTGTTCCTTCTGTCATACTTTCAGATGCTAAGGAGATTAACCGGAATAGTCCGAAGCAAACTGGACCTTACATGATATGGGACAATGCAAAAAACATCTTGGTAACATACCGTGTCCATGGTCCTCCTCTTAGTTTTATCTACGTCCCAACCAGTGAGCTGCGTTACATTGCAAATGAAATTGACGGGTTGGTAGGTGGCACCAACACAGTTGTAGTTTTTAGCATCTGGGCCCACTTCAGCCCTTTCCCAATTGAGCTCTACATCAGACGACTTCAGAGCATCCGCAGGGCGGTGATTCGTCTGTTGAACAGGGCTCCAGACACGCTGGTGGTCATCAGGACTGCAAACCTCAGAGGTTTAACACCTTCTGAATCGTTAAACTACAGTGACTGGCACGCACTACAGCGGGACAAGGTGCTCAGAGCTGTGTTCAAAGGATTTAATGTTCGATTAGTCGACGCTTGGGAGATGACTCTGGCCCACCACCTGCCTCACAACATTCACCCAGGCCGTCCTATTGTTAAGAATATGATTGACATTCTCTTGTCCTACATATGCACCAAATAGGGCTAATAGATGTGCATTTGTTCAGTGAGAGAGTTAATATCTCAATCAATTAATCTTTATTTGTATAGAGCTAATTCATACCAAATGTTATCTCAAGACAATTTACCAAATAGTAGGTTAAAGGCCTTGCTCTTTGTTATCTCAAAAGACCCAGTATTAGTCCATCACGAGAAGACACAAGGAAATCGCCTCCTGAAACCAGAAATACAATATTGCATTGACTCCTGCTGCCATTTCCCTCTTCATCTGCCACGGAAAAGCTGCCCAAATCTGTTGAACAGAATAGCCAGGGCAGCTGTGGCTCAGTTGGTAGAGTCGTCGCCTCTCAACCGGAAGGTCGAGGGTTGAGCAACATGTCTGATGTGTCCTTGGGCAAGACACTTAACCCTGAATTGCTCCTTCTGCTTCAGCGGCGGTGTATGAATGGGATTAGGTGGTGTAAAAGTGTAGTGTAGTCGGAAGACTAGAAAAGTGCTATATAAGCTCATCTTACCATTGAAGATCAACCTTGCAACAATCACCAGGAAAGTGATCCCAGTGTTAAGAGGCTTTTGTTGGGGCAGAAATAGTTTTAGGAAGTGTTTGTTATGGTAACAACTGATAATTGTCCTGTTATCTGTTGTTAGCTGCTACATTTCTTTTATTGTTGCTGAACTACTACTGTGTTCGCCTAACTGTGTGTTTTATTCACCGCTGTGCTAGCTTCCCATCAGAACGACCAGTGTACCCGCCGCTGAATCAAAGTCCGGCCACTGGCTTTCTGGTGTGTAAGTTATAGTTACTGAACTTATCTCAGAGAGTTCAAGAAGGCCGAGCCACACGGCTCCCTTTGTTCTTTGTCCACCATTTTATCCCCATGTGACATCACCACATGGCTTTTTCTCATTCTCACTCTAACTCTCTCTCTCACACACACACACACACACACAACTACACTTTTACACTTCTTCCACAAGCCTTGCATGATAATGTTTGTTTGCTTAGATTAGTTTATAATAGTTCTTTTTTTGATTAAGTTCATCGATTTTGGGTTGATGTTGCTTTGTTTAAATAAATTCTGTTATAATTTTAAGAGAGCAGTTGTTTGTGATTACTGGTGTATTTACATTGTGATATAAGCTGGGTGCGAGGGCTTTGTGTACGGATTTCACGCCTTCAATTTATTAAATATAGTTATTAATTATTAATAATATTAGTAATTAAGTAACTAATTTGAGACTGATCTGAGTGATATTTTGGTTATATTTCCCTGATTACAGGGTGGTGCCCCAAACGAGATTAAACATAGTTTAATGATATTGTTATTTAATTATTAATAATTCTATATAATTATTAAAGAATATAACCAAAGTTGACTTGATACAACCCCAACACTTTCTTGAGGAAGATGAAAAGTTAATCTGACAAGGGGTCGAAAAAAAGGAGGATGGTTACAACGATGTATCAAACAAATGGACTAATTTAAACTAAAAGAGGATGGAAGATTTTTCAAATATACTGCCATGATCGCTACACAATAAAAAAAAGTTACAGGATTGCAAGGGATTTAATATGTGGATGTCAGTGGACAAGAAAACATCGACCGCATCTTGACTTCACAAAGACAAGCCACTCTGCAATGCTCTTTTCATACCTAGAAATGTTACTCGCCTGTTTCCTGTTAACCTTATTAACTGTAAGATGTTTCATCAGCTGTTATTTAAAGCATTTTACAACTTGTATACTATTTTGTTGCCACTGTCCCAACTGTTTCAAACATGTCTTCACCATCAAATTTAAGTACAATTTATTATTAAATGGAAAATGACTTCCCCTCCCAGTCTTTTCTGTGGTTAATTGATGCACCGTGCTCCGGCATCTGGCAAAAATAGCAGCCTTGTGTAACTGCTACGGATTGCTCCGGACTGGCCGAGCTGAGACAGTGGAAGCTGGTGGAATTTGGCCGTCAGACACACTCTGGCTCAGCATTGAAAAAAGTTTTTGTTACTCCCCAACAGGCCTTAGCTTTCATAGACGTCCCATTAGGGGACATTCAAATGGTTAAATGGACCACAGTCACACCAAATATGTGGACGAAAGTAAAAGCATCTTTTGGTTTGCAATCTCGGAACTAACTTACATTGAATTTATAAAGCGTTTTACTCCCTTCCATACAGATGCATCATAAACAGAAACATGAAACTAACTGATGTTGTGATGGTTTGGTTACTCTTCATGAATTGATTTTCTCCCATTAAATGCTGTTCAGGCATCCTTTAGGAAACTGAACTGAGCTCATCAATCAGTTTTAGCTCATCAAACATGTTTTTCCTTTTTTCAACAGGAACACTCAAAAACTCAAAGACTTTATATTATTATATTCAAAACTTAAATTTAAATGGATCTCTCCACCCCAATTGACATGTGAAAACTGGAAATGTGATTTTGAAAGGGGAAGAATTCTGATCGTTGTTTATGCACTACAAGATAAATAAATAAAAATGTTTTGCATTATAGAGTTGCGTGATGTCAACTCTAGTGGACACTTCTGTACCTTCAGAATTACTATTATTAACAAAATTTAAAAAACATATTCAACATTTCATGTCTTAAGAAGTCACAGTGCAGAATCAATTGTCATATTTTAAGAGTATTTAAAGTCCAACTAAATCACATTTGACCTTTTAACTGCTTAATCATGTAAATACCTGTGATTCTTTTTCTTTTATTGCATGCAGGGAGGGCATCAAGTTTGTGTGCATGTCATGTATACATTTTCCCTGCTGTCTCCAATGAGTATTTATTTAATTACTACTAGCAATAAAGTATCATTAAGATGTTATTTTCTGTGAAAATGTCATAACTTTAAAGACTTACACGGAAAACACAAGTTTTCCCAGTTTGAATCTTTAAGGAATATTTATTTTTTTAATTTATTTGTTAGGGACAGTGCATATAAATGAACAGCTGTAACAATTACAGCTGTAAAAATGTAAAAGTTATAGCAGAAGTGCTAGTTTCCATCTGTTGTCCCTAGGCAGGTAACCTTTTTGTTTTCCCTTTCTCAGAAATGGTGACATTATTTAATTTAGTTTTAAACCAAATATACATCACAACCATTTTCTATATTTTCACTCATGAGAGTTTCACTCCAGTCACTCTCTTTGAAAGCTGCGTCCAGACTTGGAATTTGGTTTTGTGGAATGAACTGATGACAACTTCTAGTTGTGTATGAGTTGGGAAATCTTGTTTTTGAGAGTTTTCGTGAGAACAAAATTATATTATGATCTGAGATTCCTGTTAGTAGATTGTAGTTTTTTTTTAATTCTTTCAAGATGATTTGTAAATAATAATTCTATTCTGGTTGAGGAACGAGGAGTTATTCTGGTGGGTTTATCTATTATTTGTTTAAGATTAAATTGGCCAGTAATTTGCTTGAGATTTGTTCTATCCTTCTTATCATCCCAGTTAATATTCAAGTCACCCATGATAATCAACTCTTTGTCTAAGTTACAATAGTCCAGAAGAAGTTCCAGTTGATCATAAAAATCTATCTTTGCAGATGGCTTCCAGTAAATACAAATTACAATAAATGACATTTCAGATTAAAGAGAAATAGTCACACACATACATTCAAGTCCAACTTCACTAGGCCATTCAATTTGCTCACATTTTAAGGTGTTTTTAATGTATAAGAGAACCCCCCCACCCCTGCCCTTACCCCTGTCTCTTCTAAAGGTGTTGTATCCAGGTATATTTATTACAGCTTCTGGAGAGGAGCGAGTGAGCCATGTTTCTGTCAGTCCTAAAAAGTCAACATTAGAATTGCCTAATATATGTTGTAGTTGTTCCCGATTTTGAGTCATGCTCCTGATGTTTAAGTGTCCCCCAAATAAGCCACCGGGCTTGCACTTTGGATCCCAGACTGTCTTAGCTTGATAGAGTGTTTGAAATAATTTTGTAGCGCGATGCTGTTTCATTACTGGGTTCCTCAGTTTGATATCCTTGCACTGCTGGTGGCGTGAATCTGCTAGCTGTGGTTGTAGCCTGGCTGGCTGTGGTTGCAGCCCTGCCAGTTGTGGTTGTAGCCCGGCTGGCTGTGTTGTAGCCTGCTGGCTGAGGTTGTAGCCCAGTTAGCTGTGGTTGTAGCCCTGCTAGCTGTGATGAGCCCTGCTAGCTGTAGTTGTAGCCATGCTAGCTGTGGATGTAGCCCTGCTAGCTGTAGTTGTAGTCATGCTAACTGTGGATGTAGCCCTGCTAGCTGTGGTTGCAGCCCTGCTAGCTGTAGTTGTAGCCATGCTAGCTGTGGATGTAGCCCTGCTAGCTGTAGTTGTAGCCATGCTAACTGTGGTTGTAGCCCTGCTAGCTGTGGCTGCAGCCCTGCCAGCTGTAGTTGTAGCCATGCTAGCTGTGGATGTAGCCCTGCTAGCTGTAGTTGTAGCCATGCTAACTGTGGCTGTAGCCCAATTAGCTGTGAAGGTTTAGCACCTTCATTGAAGGTCCAGGATTTATTTCAACATCACCAGCCAGGAGCAGTATTATCAGAAGATGTACAATTCCCAAGAAAGGTTTAGGTTTGTTCAACTGTTCATGTTTACCTGAGGGTGGCCTTGCACGTCCATTGTCCAGTCGTCTTGTGAAGAGAAGGTGTTGACTCTTCTTGGCTAGGTAGAGGACTTGGTCACCATTTTTATCCATTTTTGGTGTAAGTGTTAGGCACAAAAGTAGAGAAAATGCACAAACAGTAAAAGATACATGCAGATGACAGATTTCAGACCAGGAGGCAGAGCTGCAGTCTTACACGCTTCTCTGCGCCCCCCTTAGATCTGTCTCCCAGTCACTATAGTTGTAATTCTGAATCGAACTGTAGTTATACTATAGGTACTGTGTCTGTCCCCCGGCCCAGACCCGTTTTTATAAGTCATCCAAACGGCGTAAATCGTCAAAATCTCATCAGAATCAAGACTACGAATATGATTTTGCTAAAAAACCAGAAGATTCACTGCAGACTTTTGAACATTAGGTCCTTAGCATCCAAATCTCTTTTAGTGAATGATCTGATATCAGATCAGCATATTGATCAACTCTTTTTTTGACTGAAACCTGGCTGTGTCAAGATGAATATGTTAGTTTGAATGAATCCACTCCTCCCAGTCATTTTTGTACTCATATACCTTGAGACACCGGACGAGGTGGGGAGTAGCAGCTATTTTTAATTCTGGACTTCCAGTTAACCCTCGACCAAAGCTGAATTTTTCTTCTTTGAAAGCCTTGTTCTTAGTTTTTTCACATCCAGTCTCAAGAACCTTTCAGCCAGTTCTAGTTGTTGTAGTTACCGTCCTCCTCTGAGCTTCTATCAGAATTTGCAGAATCTTTATCAGATTTAGTCCTTAGCAGTGATAGAATAATTGTTGTAGGTGACTTCATATCCATGTGGATGTTGATAATGATAGCCTGAGCACACTTTTCATGTCACTATTAGACTCTATTGGTTTCACCACAGGTGTAAACGAACTTACTCATCATTTCAACCACACTCTGGATCTTGTTTTAGCTTATGGCAGTGAAATCCATAACCTTACAGTTTTCCTAGAAAATCCTCTTCTATCAGACCATTTTTTTTTTATACATTCAACTTTGTCCTACCAGAATTACCTCTGCTCGGAAGAGGTGGC